GACGTGCAGTTGACCACTTAATTGGGCAGGAGCCTAGTTCGAAGCTTCTAGTATGTGCCCCATTTGGATTTCGCATGTGGAGCTTGTAGAATTGAGGAGGTTGTTAAACGAACTACTTGATTCTAGTAGCATGAAGCCCTCCAAGGTGCCATAGAGAGTCCCACTATTATTCGAAAAGAAGAAGGACGATTAGCTAAGGACATGCATTGACTATCGGGTCCAAAACAATGGTGCAGTTACGAGCGACAGAGCGGTTAAGTAGGTTTTTATCTTCCTGAAGGCTTCTTTACACTCCGAATCCCAAATTGCGTCTTCATTTTCTTTGATGGACTGGAAGAACGATTTGCATTTATCAGACGCTTGGGATATAAACCAACCAAGAGCGGCTGTCATTCTTGTTAACCATTCAACATTTTTAAAATTTTTTGGTGGTTGTAATTGATGGTTGTACCCTTGGACGAATTTCAAGTCTTGCTCAGGAATGAGTTCTTTATCAAGGCAAAGTTGGCATGGATGCAACATTTGAATGGAATGCCAATCTTAGGTGAGAGGGCAACAAGCGTTCTCCTTGTGGTTGTGGCATCTCATAGTAAGAGGGGTGGCCAGCAAAAGGTGAAGATCTTGTTCACTTAGCAAGTGAAATATGGGTCGCAGAAGGGTGAGATGACATACCTTATGATCTTGGTCGAGATCTAACGTGAAGGCTGAAGTGCCCGATGTTAGGACAAAAATTATGGAGGAATTTGATTATCCTATATCTCCTGAACTCCACTAGACCCTTCTACGTAGACGTGTAGTTGGCCAAAAAATTGGGCAGGAGCCCAGTTCAAAGCTTCTAGGTTATGCACCCATTGGATGTCGCATGTGGAACAAGTAGAATTGACGAGGTATTTGAATGAACTGCACGATTCTAGCAACATGAAGCCCTTCAAGGTGTCGTACAGAGTCCCACTATTGTTCGAAAAGAAGGAAGATGGTTAGCTGCAGATATGCATCGACTTTTGGGTCCTAAACAAATGTGCAGTTACAAGTGGCAGAGCGGCTAAATAGGTTTTCAACTTCCTGAAGGCCTCTTTACAATCCGAATCCCAAATTGCGCCTTCCTTTCCTTTGATGGACTGGAACAACGGTTTCCATTTATCGGACGCTTGAGATATAAACCTACCAAGTGCGGCTGTCGTTCTTGTTAACCTTTAAACATTCTTCAAAGTTTTTGCTGGTTGTAATTGATGGTTGAACCCTTTGTCGAATTTGAAGTCATGCTCAGGAATGAGTTCTTTATCAAGGCAAAGTAGGCATTGATGCAACATTTGAATGGAATGCAAATCTTAGGTGAGAGGGCAACATGTGTTTGCCTTGTGGTTGTTGCATATCAACGTAAGAGAGATGGCAAGCAAAAGGTGGAGATGTTGTCCACTATGAAAGTGAAATTTGGGTTGTAGAAGGGTGAGATGACATACCTCATGATCTTGGTGGAGATCGGACGTGAAGGTTGAAGTGCCCGAGGTTGGGGCAAAAATTATTGAGGATTTTGATGATCTTACACCTCCTGAACTCCCCTAAACCTTTCTTCTTACATGTGCACTAGACCACAAAATTGGGCTGGAGCCTTGTTCAAAGCTTCTAGATTGTGCCCCCTTTGGATGTCACATGTGGAACTGGTAGAATAGAGGAGGTAGTTGAACGAACTACTCGGTTCTAGTAACTTGAAACCGTCCAAGGTGCCATACAGAGTCCCACTATTGTTCCAAAAGAAGAAAGATGGTTAGCTGCGGAAATGCATCGACTATCGGGTCCAAAACTCTGGTGCAGTTACAAGTGGCATAGCAGCTAAATAGGTTTTTAACTTCCTAAAGGCCTCTTTGCATTCCAAATCCCAAATTGCGCCTTCCTTTCCTTTGATGGTCTAGAAGAACGGTTTGCATTTATCGGATGCTTGGGATATAAGCCTACCAAGTGCAGCTGTCATTCTTATTAACCTTTAAACATTCTTAAACTTTTTTGGTGGTTGTTATTGATGGTTGTACCCGTGGAGAAAGTTTAAGCCATGCTCAGGAATGACTTGTTTATCAAGGCCAAGCTGGCATTGATGCAACATTTGAATGGAATGCCAATCTTAGGTGAGACGGCAACATGCGTTCTCCTTGTGGTTGTGGCATATCAAAGTAAGAGGGATGGCAAGCAAAATGTGGAGATCTAGTCCACTATGCAACTGAAATATGGGTTGCAGAAGGGTGATATGGCATACCTCATGATCTTGGTGGAGATCTGACGTGAAGGTTGAAGTGCCCGATGTTGGGGCAAAAATTTTGGAGGAATTGGATGATCTTATACCTCCTGAACTCCCCAAGACCCTTCAACTTAGACGTGCAGTTGACCACTTAATTGGGCAGCAGCCTAGTTCGAAGCTTCTAGTATGTGCCCCATTTGGATTTTGCATGTGGAACTAGTAGAATTGAGGAGGTTGTTAAACGAACTACTCGATTCTAGCAACATGAAGCCTTCCAAGGTGCCATAGGGAGTCCCACTATTATTTGAAAAGAAGAAGGATGGTTAGCTTAGGATATGCATTAACCATCGGGTCCAAAACAAGGGTGCAGTTATGAGTGGCAGAGCGGTTAAGTAGGTTTTTATCTTCCTGAAGGCCTCTTTACATTCCGAATCCCAAATTGCGTCTTCCTTTCCTTTGATGGACTGGAAGAACGGTTTGCATTTATTAGACGCTTGGGATATAAACCAACTAAGTGCGGCTGTCATCCTTGTTAACCTTTAAACATTTTTAAATTTTTTTGGTGGTTGTAATTGATGGTTGTANACCCTTTCTTCTTACATGTGCACTAGACCACAACATTGGGCTGGAGCCTTGTTCAAAGCTTCTAGATTGTGCCCCCTTTGGATGTCACATGTGGATCTGGTAGAATAGAGGAGGTAGTTGAACGAACTACTCGGTTCTACTAACTTGAAACCGTCCAAGGTGCCATACAGAGTCCCACTATTGTTCCAAAAGAAGAAAAATGGTTAGCTGCGGAAATGCATCGACTATCGGGTCCAAAACTCTGGTGCAGTTACAAGTGGCATAGCAGCTAAATAGGGTTTTAACTTCCTAAAGGCCTCTTTGCATTCCAAATCCCAAATTGCGCCTTCCTTTCCTTTGATGGTCTAGAAGAACGGTTTGCATTTATCGGATGCTTGGGATATAAGCCTACCAAGTGCGGCTGTCATTCTTATTAACCTTTAAACATTCTTAAACTTTTTTGGTGGTTGTTATTGATGGTTGTACCCGTGGAGAAAGTTTAAGCCATGCTCAGGAATGACTTGTTTATCAAGGCCAAGCTGGCATTGATGCAACATTTGAATGGAATGCCAATCTTAGGTGAGACGGCAACATGCGTTCTCCTTGTGGTTGTGGCATATCAAAGTAAGAGGGATGGCAAGCAAAATGTGGAGATCTAGTCCACTATGCAACTGAAATATGGGTTGCAGAAGGGTGATATGGCATACCTCATGATCTTGGTGGAGATCTGACGTGAAGGTTGAAGTGCCCGATGTTGGGGCAAAAATTTTGGAGGAATTGGATGATCTTATACCTCCTGAACTCCCCAAGACCCTTCAACTTAGACGTGCAGTTGACCACTTAATTGGGCAGCAGCCTAGTTCGAAGCTTCTAGTATGTGCCCCATTTGGATTTCGCATGTGGAACTAGTAGAATTGAGGAGGTTGTTAAACGAACTACTCGATTCTAGCAACATGAAGCCTTCCAAGGTGCCATAGGGAGTCCCACTATTATTTGAAAAGAAGAAGGATGGTTAGCTTAGGATATGCATTAACCATCGGGTCCAAAACAAGGGTGCAGTTATGAGTGGCAGAGCGGTTAAGTAGGTTTTTATCTTCCTGAAGGCCTCTTTACATTCCGAATCCCAAATTGCGTCTTCCTTTCCTTTGATGGACTGGAAGAACGGTTTGCATTTATTAGACGCTTGGGATATAAACCAACTAAGTGCGGCTGTCATCCTTGTTAACCTTTAAACATTTTTAAATTTTTTTGGTGGTTGTAATTGATGGTTGTACCCTTGGACGAATTTGAAGTCTTGTTCAGGAATGAGTTCTTTATCAAGGCAAAGTTGGCATGGATGCAACATTTGAATGGAATGCCAATCTTATGTGAGAGGGCAACAAGCGTTCTCCTTGTGGTTGTGGCATCTCACAGTAAGAGGGGTGGCCAGCAAAAGGTGAAGATCTTGTTCACTTAGCAAGTGAAATATAGGTTGCAGAAGGGTGAGATGACATACCTTATGATCTTGGTCGAAATCTAACGTGAAGGCGGAAGCGCCCGATGTTTGGGCAAAAATTATGGAGGAATTTGATGATCCTATATCTCCTGAACTCCCCAAGACCCTTCTACTTAGACGTGTAGTTAACCAAAAAATTGGGCAGGAGCCTTGTTCAAAGCTTCTAGGTTGTGCACCCATTGGATGTCGCATGTGGAGCTAGTAGAATTATGCAGGTATTTGAATCACCTGCACGATTCTAGCNTATAGTTAACCAAAAAATTGGGCAGGAGCCTTGTTCAAAGCTTCTAGGTTGTGCACCCATTGGATGCCGCATGTGGAGCTAGTAGAATTATGCAGGTATTTGAATCACCTGCACGATTCTAGCAACCAGAAGCCCTCCAAGGTGCCATACAAAGTCCCACTATTGTTCCAAAAGAAGCAAGATGGTTAGCTGCGGATATGCATCGACTTTTGGGTCCTAGACAATGGTGCAGTTACAAGTGGCAGAGCGGCTAAGTAGGTTTTCAACTTCTTGAAGGCCACTTTACAATCCGAATCCTGCATTGCGCCTTCCTTTCCATTTATGGACTGGAAGAACGGTTTGCATTTATCGGACGCTTGGGATATAAACCAACCAAGTGCGGCTGTCATTATTGTTAAACTTTAAACACTCTTAAAATTTTTTGGTGGTTGTAATTAATGGTTATACCCTTTGATGAATTTGAAGTCATGCTTAGGAATGAGTTCTTTATCAAGGCACAGTTGGCATTGATGCAACATTTGAATGGAATGCCAATCTTATGTGAGAGGGCAAGGTGCGTTCGCCTTGCGGTTGTTGCAGATCAAAGTAAGAGAGATGGCAAGCAATATGTGGAGATGTTCTGCACTATGAAAGTGAAATATGGGTTGTAGAAGGGTAAGATGACATACCACATCATCTTGGTGTACATCTGACGTGAAGGTTAAAGTGCCCGATGTTGGGGCAACATTTATTATGGAGTTTGATGATCTTATACCTCCTAAACTCCCCTAGACCTTTCTTCTTACACGTGCAGTTAACCACAAAATTTGGCTGGAGCCAAGTTCGAAGTTTCTAATATGTGCCCCATTTGGATGTCGCATGTGGAGCTAGTAGAATTGAGGAGGTTGTTGAACGAACTACCCGATTCTAGCAACTTGAATCCCTCCATGGTGCCATACAGAGTCCCACTATTGATCCAAAAGAAGAAGGATGGTTAGCTGCGGATATGCATTGACTACCGGGTCAAAAACATTGGTGCAGTTACAAGTGGCAGAGCGGCTAAGTAGGTTTTTATCTTCCTGAAGGTCTCTTTACATTTCGAATCCCAAATTGCGCCTTCCTTTCCTTTGATAGAGTTGAAGAACGATTTGCATTCATTGGACACTTGGGATATAAACCTACCATGTGCGGCTGTCATTCTTGTTAACCTTTAAACATTCTTAAAATTTTTTGGTGGTTGTAATTGATGGTTGTACCAGTGGACAAAGTTTAAGCCATGCACAGGAATGAGTTGTTTATCAAGGCCAAGTTGGCATTGATGCAACATTTGAATGGAATGCCAATCTTATGCGAGAGGCCAACATGCGTTCTCCTTGTGGTTGTGGCATATCAAAGTAAGTGCGATGGCAACCAAAATGTGGAGATCTAGTCCACTATGCAACTGAAATATGGGTTGTAGAAGGGTGAGATGGCATACATCTTGATCTTGGCGGAGATCTGACGTGAAGGTTGAAGTGCCCGATGTTGGGGCAAAAATTTTGGAGGAATTGGATGATCTTATACCTCCTGAACTCCCCTAGACCCTTCAACTTGGATGTGCAGTTAACCACTTAGTTGGGCAGGAGCATAGTTCTAAGCTTCTAATATGTGCCCCATTTGGACGTCGCATGTGGAACAAGTAGAATTGAGGAGGTTGTTAAACGAACTACTCGATTCTAGCAATATGAAGCCCTCCAAGGTGCCATACAGAGTCCCACTATTGTTCCAAAAGAAGAAGGATGGTTAGCTGTGGATATGCATTGACTACCGGGTCCAAAACAATGGAGCAGTTACGAGTGGCCGAGCGGCTAAGTAGGTTTTTATCTTCCTGAAAGCCTCCTCACATTCGGAATCCCAAATTGCGCCTTCCTTTCCTTTGATGGACTGGAAGAACGGTTTGCATTTATCGGATGCTTGGGATATAAGCCTACCAAGTGCGGCTGTCATTCTT